CGTCCACCTCTACTTCCACGTCGACCTCCAGTTCCACCTCTACTTCCACGTGCACATCGACGTCCACATCTACCTCCACCTCCACGTCCACGTCCACATCTACCTCCAGCTCTACGTGCACCTCGACCTCCACCTCGACGGCTACGTCCACGAGTACTTCCACCTGACCTCCACGACCACATCTACCTGTACATCTACGTCCACTTCCACCTCAACCTCAACCGCCAGATCCAGCTCCACGGGTACGTCTAGGTCGACTGCGAGTTTGACCTTCACCTCGACCTCGACTGCCAGCGCGTGTCAACCTGCGACCTCCACATGCACGTGTGCGTCTACATCCGCGTGTACGAGTACGTCCACGAGTACGTCCACAAGCACTTCCACAAGCACTAGCACCTCAACCACTTCCAGCTCCGGTTCAGGCTTTGTGACGTTCACGTCGACATCCACGTCCACGTCCACCTCCACGAGTACTTCCACGTCCACAAGCACATCTACCTCTACGTCGACCTCCACCTCTACTTCTACTTCTACTTCTACTTCTACTTCTACCTCTACTTCTACTTCTACTTCTACTTCTACTTCTACTTCTACTTCTACGTCCACAAGCACGTCTACCTCTACGTCGACCTCCACATCTACCTCTACTTCCACGTCCACATCTACCTCCACCTCCACGTCTACGTCCACGTCCACCTCCACGTCCACCTCTACCTCCACATCCACATCCACCTCCACCTCCACCTCCACGAGTACTTCCACGTCCACGTCCACCTCCACGAGTACTTCCACGTTCACCTCCACGTCCACCTCGACCTCCACTTCCACCTCCACCTCTACCTCTACTTCTACTTCCACCTCCACCTCTACCTCTACGTCCACCTCCACGAGTACTTCCACGTCTACTTCTACTTCCACGTCCACCTCTACCTCCACGAGTACTTCCACGTCCACGTCCACATCCACTTCTACTTCCACCTCCACCTCTACCTCTACGTCCACCTCCACGAGTACTTCCACGTCCACCTCCACGTCCACCTCGACCTCCACCTCTACCTCCACTTCTACTTCCACCTCCACATCTACTTCCACTTCCACCTCCACCTCTACGTCCACCTCCACGAGTACTTCCACATCTACTTCCACTTCCACCTCCACCTCCACGTCCACCTCGACCTCCACCTCTACCTCCACTTCTACTTCCACCTCCACGTCTACGTCCACGAGTACTTCCACGTCTACCTCTACTTCTACCTCCACGTCTTCGTCTACCTCTACGTCTACCTCAACGAGTACGTCCACATCCACATCTTCCAGCTCCGGGTCCGGATTCGTGACTTTCACCTCAACGTCAACCTCGACTTCCACATCGACCTCTACCTCCACATCTACCTCCACCTCGACTTCCACGAGCACTAGCACGTCTTCCTCCACCTCCACCTCGACTTCGACCTCGACCACTACGTCAAGCTCTACGTCCACCTCGTCTTCAACTTCATCGTCATCTTCAACTAGTTCGTCTTCCACGACGACAAGTTTCACCACCACCACCACGACAACAGAGGCCCTCACATTCGTGGATTACTTCAACGAAGCCACAAACGAGACTGAACGTGCGTGGAACCTGTTCGCTGACTGACCCATTTTGTTATCTGCATCAGTCTGCAGCAGTTTGACATGTGTTATTGCATCTCACGAACTCAAACCTGCTTGTTATGTTCTTGCAGAGTGGCTGGTGGGACTGTCATCTACGTTCTTCTACGTCAAGGATTATCGCAACCAATATGGTGCGGAGGAGCAATGCCAGCTGCGTGGTGGTCATCTTGCAACAATCAGCTCTCAGGAGGAGCTGCAGTTGCTGATGCGGTACATTTTCCTGCACACGCGGGGTCGTTCTGTTTGGCTCGGGGCTGTCGTGAACCTGGATGGCTCTGTTGAATGGCAAGATGGCACTGAGTACGATGATAGCTGGGCGCCCTGGGCGGAGAACGAGCCGCTCCTCGCAGAACTTCAAGGTGTGAGGATGAAGGTTTGGGGCGTTGATGATGTCGATTGGTTTTCACACTACCAAAAGCGTCGCCTCCACTACCTGTGTGAGCGAGACGACGCGAGCACGAGCAGTAGCACGGTAACCTCGACGACGACAGCAACCACGACGACGCCTAGTGTCGAAATTGTCAATGGTCAGTAGGGACACTCGCACTGATATCGTGTGTGATGCAATGCATAGTAGTATGCGAGTGCCATACGTGTACTCATTGCCATACACACTCCGAAGCGATGTGCACGTTTTTGTGCGTGCTCTTACCATGTCATTACTCCTTCAAAGTTCTCACGTTTGGTTGTTTGACGTGTTTGTGACGTTGCGGCAGGTCTTGCTCAAGGGCCTGATTCGCAGTACCTGTACTTGGACGTGCCTGGCAACCGCGACAGTGCCCAGGTCATTTGTGCCACGTTCAGCGGCGCGCTTGCTGTCGTGGGGACAGGCGCAGAGCAGGAGTTTGTCACGCGCTACTTAACGAGCGACAGCCCGCCGGCATTCGTGTGGCTGGGCGGACGCGTGGACACGAGTGGCACTCCGACTTGGGATGATGGCACGCCTTACGACGGGTCATTTGTTCCATGGGGCGTTGGCGAGCCACGCTCTGACACTACCAGTGACCGTGTCATCACAATGTTGGTTACCGAGGGTGGCAATGTCATCTGGACAACAACCGTTGACTCGGATAGCCGTGCCATTCTGTGTGAGATTCCGTACTGAGCATGACCTTGTGTGAACGTTTTGTGATCTGGGTTGCGCTGTATGTGTAGATTGCGGGGCAGTTGTAGGGTGTTGTACAGCATTGTGTGTGCGTGTGTGTATTTGCCTGTGCGTATGTATGTGTATGCTTGCATGTGCGTTTGTATGCTTGTTCAAATGCCTTGTGTTGGACCAGCAATCTTTTATTGCATGCACAAGAACTACTGCGGTTCCATGGTGTCACACAATACAACCAAACAAACACCATCAAAGCACAAGTCACTTGAGGTGGGCGAGCAAGCGCAGTGGGTGTTCGATGAACTGCTTCATCTCGTTGGAGAACTTGGCGATGGTGACACCATCGATGACGCGGTGGTCCGCACTGAAGCTGATCTGTAGACAAACAGGGGGCAACGTCGATGAGTTTAATGACACGGGTTTAGCGATTACAGACACACACACACACACACACACACACACACAACACACCTCCATAATGTGCCGTGCGATGACGTTGTCGTTGTCATCGAAGCGAGGCAGCTTACGCACACGCCCCATTGCGCCAATGGCGACCTGTGGCACTACAATGACAGGCCCAAGGTATGTCCCACCGAGGACACCAATGTTGGACAGCGTAAACGTGCCACCTGTCAAGTGCTCCGTCTTCAGCTTGTTCTTCGCCCCAAGTTCCTGGTGTGATGGTGTATGTACGTGTGAACGTGTGTGCGTTTTGTGCGCGTGTACGTGTGTGTGTGTGTGTGTGTGTGCTTACTTTGTTGTTGGGCAAAGCAGAAAGCGACTGCCAAGAGCCAGAACAAACGACTGCAAACATGATCACTGAAAAGCACACTTGCGGACAACACGCCTTACCTGAAGCTCATTCAAGTCACGCGCAATGTCAAAGACACTCTTGTTGTTGACATTCTTGATGTTTGGCACAACGAGGCCAAGCGGTGTGTCCATGGCCACACTAATGTTGTGCTCAGCCTTGAGAGTGACAGATGTGCACTCCTCATTGACATGACTGTCGGGGTGTGTGTGATTGGCAGAAAGTGCACGTGCATGAATGACAGGAAGTTGGAGCAGACATCATTGCATGGTGTTGGGCAGGTGTGCGTGGTGTCTGTACAACAGCAACGGCAGGAAAACACAAGCAGCAGGCATGCAGATGTGCGCACGCACAAGTAATTTTCATGTGCATGTGCACAGGTCCGAGCTGCACCAGTGCATTGTGCTCACCTGTTCAGGATTGGGTACTTCTCCAAGGCAAGAGAGGCAGCCTTGATGATGAAGGGCATGTACGAGACCTTGAGCGAGTCAGCGGCCATTGCGCGAAGTGTCTGGCGCGCTTCCATCAGGCCATCCATCTCAATCTATGCACGTGTTTTGGGTAAGGGCCAGCGGCAGCGTGCACGAATGAGAACGCGTGGCAGCAGCCATGAATGTGCATGTGCGTGTGCATGTGTGTATGTTATTCATGTGTGGGTGTTGTGAGTGCAGGTGTGGGTGTGGGTTGAGTCCAACATGAGCCCGGAGCATCGCAACTTCAAGACGAACGCGACCTGCACGACCCACCTCTTCGGCGTAGGAGAAGTGGGGCACCTTCAAGGCCGCCGTCATGGACTTCACCATGGCGGCCTGGATACCGGAGATGGGCTGTGTCTGGTCCTCGGCGAGACCACGGCCTGTGGTGGCGGTAGCTTGCTGTTGACCCATGCTGGCAGATGCAGTAGCACCAACTGTTGTCGCTGTTGCCGGTGCTTGGGCGGGCTGGGCGCCGTGCTCCAGGTAGTTGAGAACATCCTCCTTCAACACGCGGCCGTTCTGCAATGAGAGGTGGGTGGGTGTCCAAGGAAGAGCGATGAGCGTGTTGACGATTGAATGTCGGTGGGATGGAGCGAGTTGAAGAAATTAAAAAAAAATAACATGCGTGAGTGGTGTGTGTGTGTGTGTGTATGTGTATGTGAATGTGTGGATGTGTACATGTGAGTGGGAATGTGTGAGTGTGAATGTGTGGGGGTGTAATTACAAGTATGAGTGCGAGCAAACGCACATGCACACGCACACACACACACACAGAACATTTTGCGTACCTTGCCGGTGCCAACAACTTGCTCAATCGGGATGTTGTTCTCGCGGACAATGCGACGAACAGCGGGCGTCATCAAAACCTTGCCTGTGCGTGCGGGGCCTGCGGTGGCGCCCTGTTGTTCGGGGATGGCTGGGGACTCGGCGGTAGCGTCGGCTTCAGACGTGGCAGATTCAGTGGAGGCGCCCTCATCAGTCTCGCCATCGTCATCGTCCTCCACCTCGATGTCAATCAGGGGCTTGCCGACAATGGCCATTTCTCCGACTTCGTAGTGAAGCTTCACCACCTTGCCATCGTACCGGCTGGAGATGTCCACGTTGGCCTGTTGTTGATATGCACCGCGAATGGAGCATTGGTGTGTGACAAGAGATTAGAGTGGCGTGCTTGCGGTGTTGCATTGCTATGGTGTGGTGGGGTGTACGTTGTTGGTTGCGTTGCGGTGCTGTGTGTGTGTATGTGTGCGTGGTGTGAGTGTGGTTTGCGGTGCTGTGTACGTTTGTGTATGTGTTATGCTATTTTGTACGTGTTGCCGCTGTCGGAGTTGGCTGGTGAAGCGTGAAGCTGTGCTCGTTATCTTCGTGCAATGCAAGTTCGTGAGGTAAACCGCATGGCGGTGACTGGGTCCAATGCAGCACACGTTCCAACTGTGAATGGGTTGTGTGTGTGTGTGTGTGTGTGTGTCGTACCTTGTCGCTGGCAACATCGCAAACGGGGTCAAACTGGTTGACGTGGTCACCCTCACTCACGTGCCTGGTCAAGGTGGTGATGAGTAGTGCAGTGAGGCATGAACAGCATGTCATGAACAGACGAAGAAGCATATGGACAAACAAACGCACACACACACACACACACACGAATGCACACACACACAGACGCATGCGTCTGAACAGACACATGCACACATGCACGCCCGCACACGCACACACACGAATGCACACACACACACACACACACACACACACACACGCAAGTACTCTAGTGCATGACGCACCACTCGAGAAGAGTGGCCTGGGCAATGCCTTCGCCAATGTCTGCCAGAAGGAAAGGCACAACTTTCTTGCAAGCAACAGGAGTCCAGTGCAACGTGCGTTGCTGCGCTTGCAGACCACCAGCACCAGCCCTCACCACTGCACGAGGCAACACCCGCCCCACCACACTGCGCGCGCCTGCCAGCATCTTTTGTGTTGTTCGCCTGCGTGTGGGTGCCTTCTTCGCTCTTTCGCTCTCTGGCGTTTGTGCGTGGAGTGCAAAACTTTTGCCCAAATTGCAAAATTTAATCACCCGCGCGTTGTTGCGTGGAAAAAAGCAGAGGTGCACACCACAACCGTCTAAGCGACAGTCGCAGCACTACACATGAGCCTCGCACCGAGGCACTTGGTTTCTATCTATCTATTGATTCACTTTTCTTTCTGTCTATGAGGCGCGTGCTCTCACACACATTCACCCATGCGCACCGCTGCCCTTTGTTTTGCCGCAATTGCCTTCCCCATCTTTGAGCGCCGGGAACAGTGTAAGATTTCAGCGAGTTTTCCCAAATAAACCCAAACCCACAACACACAAACACACACACACACACGCACACACACACACAATAGAACACACACACACACACGCACACAATACAACGCTCACACAACACACACACACACACACACAATACAACGCACACACAACACACACACACAACACACACAACACACAGCACAACAAACCCAGCACACACAGCACAGCATACACACTTGCACACACACAACTAACTACAAGGGCATGCATTGAGAGAGGGAGACGACATGCCCACTTGCGTCGCCAACAACAACACATGTGCCTGCGTGTGTGCAACGCAAAGCAAGGGCGGTGACCGGTATGCCCGTCGGCATCAAGGTCTTCAACACCTCGCCTGCGTCAAGCCCCCAAAACTTGAGCGTGCCATCGCAGCCAGCGGAGAGCAGCAGCGACCCATGCTCCTGTTGTGCAAACACAACACGGACCACAGGCCCAATGTGCCCGCCAACAAGCTCATGTATCACCTCCCCAGTCCCCGAGAGAAACACCGCAATGTCCCCATCCGCAAAGGCCACAGCAGCGTACTTGCCGTAGGCGCTGTAGGCGACAGAGTGAATGGGAAGGTCACCTTCCACAAGCGTGCGCACACAACACCCATCTTGAACACGATGCACGGCTGCCACTCCATCAGCACTCCCGCACAGAATGTCTTCCCCGCGTGGACTGAATGCACAGGCATGAACGGCTGACGTGTGGGCCATGATAGCACGCCGCAGCGCACGCTGCTCCACGTCCCACACCAACACCATGCCTTTGCTGTCACAGGTGGCTGCAAGGCGGGCATCGCTCCGCCAGCAGCAGGCGTGCACCGCATGCCCTTGGTGCTCCGCAGCCCAGTCCAACACTGCGGTCCCTGTCACCGTGTCCCAAACGCACACGCGCCCTTCCTGGTCACCACACAGCAAGAGCGTTCCCTCCGTGTTGAAGGCCATGCACAATATGTCGCTCATGTGGGCAAGGTAGCTCGCTGACACAGCACAACCCAGGTCCAGCAGCCCAGCTGCGCGCCCCGCTCCCGAAGCTGGCTGTTGCAGCAGCGTGATGACACCGCGGTGCGCGCTGAATGCTACCGTGTTGGCATGCGGGTGCACGTCCAGGCATTGCACGTGCGCTGTGCAGCTACTGCGCAGCGATGCTGTGGCAAGCACCCCCTGTGCTGGCGAACGTGTCTTGGTCAGCACCATCGTGGCTGTCCCGCTATCTCTTGTTGAAGGTGGCACGCGCATCACGTCTGTCCCCTCAGCTGTGCAACTTGTGGGCAAGTGCTGGCATGCAGTGGCGACGTTGTGGCGCTGAAGGATGGATCCCAACCGAACCGTCTGCACGTGGCCAGCTTGAGAAACAATTGCCACCTGTCGTCCACGCCCACTACAATACACACATGATGACGTCAACAGCCGCCGTTATGTTATGTTAAGTTTCATGGCGACCATGATGTGAGTGTGCGTGCGAGAGCATGTGTGCTTGCGTGTGTGTGTGTGTGTGTGTGTGTGTGTGTGTGTGTTTGCACAATTGTGTGTTGGCGCAGAAACAAAGGTGACGGTTCAAAGCGCAGGCCGCCAATGTGTACAACAAGTGCATCAACACACACACACACACACATACATCAGCAAACGAGCACATGCATAAAGCCAAACAAACAACAAACGACAAACGACAAACGACAAACACTGTCCCAAGCGCAAGTAACAGACCTGAATGCCCAGTCTTTCCAGGCGCCGGGCAAGTAATAGAGCAGCTGCTGGGTGTGTACGTCCCAGACAGCAAACGCAGCGTTTGAACTTGCACCAATCAGGGCGCCGTCACTTGAGAAGCTGGCATGCAAGATGGACCGCGTGATCCCATTCGTTCCTGCGGCCATGGCGAGCTCGTGTTGTCCGGCCACCTGCCACCCAGTGACTCTTGAATCGGTTGTGTCATTATCATGTGCATGGCTGCCGTGTCGGTTCTTGCTAGCGTGCACGGCGTGGGTAAAGGTGCCGCCGCCGCCGCCGCCGCCGCCGCCGCCGCCGCTGCTGCTGCTGCTGCTGCTGCTGGAAGCAGTCGTGGTGGCGATGGTCAAACCGTCTTGTACCCGCTCCAATTGCCACAGGCGCACAATCCCGTCCGCCGAAGCAGACAGCGCCTGGACGCGCGTGCATGAGAACGACGGCGCGAATGCGCAAATCTCGGGCGTGCTCGTGTGCCCACGCAATTTTCGCGCCAGTTTGCCGGTTCGCACATCCCAGACACACACGCACAGGTCCTCGCCGCCCGAAATCAGCAGGGAGCCCGAAGGATGGAAGCGCGCTGTTTCCACGGGTGCACTGTGGCCACGCAGCATCTTCTTCACGCATTTGCCACGCCCGCTCCACAGCAGTACGCGCCCGTCGCGTGCACAGGTGACAAAGTCCAGACCCGTGGGTGCAAATACAACGTGGGTAACAAGATCGGCGTGACCCTCAAGACGTTGCAGGTCGCCACGCGCTGTTGCTGTCGCGGCACTGGCGCAGTGTGACTGCTGCCCGGCGTGATGGCGGTGGCCGCCAAACTTACGGGTGTGCCGCCGGCTTTTCTTCGTTTGCCGTCGGGGCAGGTGTCCATCTCCCTCCACGCCACCGGCAGCACTGGTGCGGCTGACGGCGGTGGTTGAACGTTCACGGGGCACATCATCCGTGGCACAAGTTGCTGCTGTGCCATGCGCAATGTCGAGGGGCAACGACCACAGGTACGCAACACCAGCTGACGACCGCAGGACTGCCGCGTCAGCGTCGTGTGAAATGGACACTTGCACAATATCGCCCGTGAGTGGTGATGATGACGACGATGATGATGATACGCCAGCGCTTGTTGGGGAGGAAGAATGCGAGGGCAGCGACGCTGGGGATGGAGTCGGTGACGCTGTGGTTGCGTGAGTCGGTGTGCGTGCCAGGCAGTGACCGGATGTGACGTCTGCAACCACCGCCACCCCGCCACTGCAGCCAAGACACACAACTGTGCCGCGGCCGCTCAGGCTCGAGTCAAACACAGGCATGTCTTTGCTAGTGGCTATCGTGGTGCTTGCAGGCGCCTGTCGTGTGGCACTGCCGGCCTCGTTGCCCGCACTGCGTGTCAGTGTCAGTGGCGCAAGGGAAACAATGTCGACGCCGTGGCTGCGCTGAACAATAAAGCGAGCGGCGTGGTGCACAAACGAGACACGCGCGACATCATAGCTGGCTCCCTCGCTGCCCGCGCCACCTGCCAGCGATTTCAGGTGCGACACAGCCGCGCTTGCCATGGAAGGGCTGGGCCGTTCGCGGTTGGCAATTGCAGCCAGTGCGTGCATGGTGCTATCGCCATCGGCTGCGCTCCCCTGCGCTTCGCTGCCAAGGAACATGAGCCCCTGTGCGAGCCCAGGTGACTGGTGCAGTAGCTCAAGTGCACGCATGCGAAGGCGTGGCGTGGTGAAGGCGGGCAGGAGCATGTGGTCAAGGAGGCCCACGTGCGGGTGGTCGCTGATCGTGCTCACGAGCATCAGCAGCATGTTGTACTCGTCCAGCATGCCAAAGTCTGGCTGCCGCAAGGACAGCTCCTCCAGATCGTGCATGGCGTCATGCGCGAGCCCTGCCGCGCACTTCAAATGCAAGAATTCGGGCCGTTGCATCATGTGCATCGCCTGCTGCACATCGCCACTGCGAAGGTGGTGGAAGACAACCCCTTGCAGCGCAGCCCACATCTGTGGCACGACGGTGCTCCGATCCACCGCTGCTGCTGTTGACGGTGGCGTCCACGCAGTGCTCATCCTCGCCTTCCTGCCAGTGGCACTGCCTTCTCCCGTGCTGTTGCGCTTGCCGCCGCCGCCACCGCTGCGACCACCCCCGGCAGCAGCAGCAGCAGCGGCGATGGTTTGGCGGGTGGAGTGTGTGAGGGCCGCGGCCTCAGCGTCAAACACCTGGGCATGGGCGCGTGCCAGCAGGCGGTGAAAATAGTGTTGCCTGTTGCTGTTGCGTTCCAGTCCATAGCGCTCACGGATCACCTCTGCCCAAGCAGGGTGGGCGATGGAGACAGCAGAGCGGCCAATGGGGCGATGGTGCACTGCAAATACAAACTCAATGTCGTGCAGCAGTGCCAGCCACGACAGCGTTGGGAGGCGCTCCCTGGAGAGTGCAGCCTCTCCTCCTTTGGCGTGCGAGGCAGACGTGACTGCCTCGTGGTTCCCGCCACTTCCCGCCGCCAGCTGCTGCAGCATCTCCGGTGCAATGCCGTGCTCAGCGGTGGCAACCAGACACAGCACGTGCTCCACCAGGGCGTGGCCGTGGCGATCTTCCCATAGCTGCAGCAGAACCGCCAGCACGTCGGCTGCGGTGATGTTTGGAAGCCCTTCCAGCAGCGCTGGCCCTTCGCCATATGGTGTTGTGGACTGCCATTCCGTGGCCAGCTTCATGAGGGCTTGAAGCATGAGTGGGCTGCTGCAGGCGGCAAAGGCGCGGATGAGAGCAGACGCCTGGCTCTGCGTCACCGTGCGCTTGTGTGCGCTCTTGAGAAGCGTGCGAACGGTGGAGGTGTTGAGCACACCACGTGCCAGCAGCCCCACCGGAACCAACACGCACTCCGATGGTGGTGCTGGTGACGATGAGGGCGATGGTACAACAACACCTGCATGTTGTGGGTGTTGCGCTTGTCGCTGCTGCTGCTGCTGCTGCTGCTGTTCAATGTTGGCAAGGATGTCGATGTGGGATGGGCGTTGTGTGGTAGGTGCTGTGAAGATGACCAAGCGCACGTGCAGAGGGAGGCGGCGGTGCACGTGCAACCAGTGCAAGTGCTGAAGCGCGCCGTATGCGTGCGACAGGCGATCAAGCCCATCCAACACAATCACCAACGGCCTGTGTGCTGTCGCCAGTCGCAGGCATCGGGCAAAGTGGTCGCACAGCGCCTGAAATGTGTGCGGTGGTCGGGCCACCATCGTCGTCGTTGTCGTTGTGAATGTTGTTGTCGTTGGTGTTCCTGTCGCGACGCGCGGGTGCGACGTGTTGCTGCTCGCTGTCGATGCGTGGTGATCACTTCCCCTGGAAGCAGACGTGCGGCTGCCAGGGTGGCACATACGATCACCAGCAGCATCGCCACCGCCATCGCCATCCGCATGAGCATCGTCGTTGCTGTAGGCTTGCTGAATCTGCGAACACATGCTGTAGAGGAGTGAGCGGGCATCTGTGGACGCGTGGGTGTGTCCGAGGAAGCGGTAAACCAGCACACGCCCGTGCACAGCTCCAGCGTCATCGCCTCCGTGTGCACAGCACGCGCCTTTGGTTATCGCCGCTGTCAGCTGCAGCTTGCTGATGAGGTTTGCGCACAGCCACGACTTGCCGCACCCAGACGGGCCATGCAAAATCAGCGGCCACAACCCATCATCATCATCAGCATCATCAGCATCATAATCATCATCAGCGCTGCAAGTGTCATCGTCTTTGTTGTCGCCGTCGTCGTCGGCAAGAGGGTTCTGAACTCCAGCATTGTGCGCAGGGTCGGTGGAAGACTCCACGACCATCGTGGATGTGCCTGCGCGGAGGACAGCAGGAGCAGCGGTGCTGCGGGCGTTCATTTCGGCTGCGGTTGCTTGCAGGCAATATGTTTCAAGCTTGTCCATGAGCCCTGGGCGCGTGAACCCTGGCTGTGCCGCAATGGACCGTGCGAGCACGCCGTGTTGTTGCAGCTCAGCCAACAGCTCCTTTGCCTCCGTCTTTCGGTATGCCTGCAGGATGTCTGTTGTGATGCGTTCGCGCAGCGCAGCGACGAGGTTGTTGATGTATGCGTGGTGGTGTTTGTCAGACAAGCCGGCACCGGACACCCAGTCCACGTCAAACTGCAGCACGCGTTGCTCCGAAGTGGCGTGGGAGAGGCGTTCACGAAGGCGGTTGAGACGCGACGCGCGGTGCGACTGTGGGTCCTCCCCATACGCGGCTGCCAGCTTGGCGCCTTTGCTTGCTGCGCGGCCGTTTGTCGGTACGGGTGGCGGGGTCTTGAAACAGCGCTTGACCAGAATGCACTGCGCGTTTCTGTCCGCGTTCTCTGCAAAGTGATGCACGCACAGCTGGTCCTGCAGCGTACAAACGTACTTTGTCATCTGCGCGCTGCTGCGTAGTCCACTCGTGCCGTCAACGAGTGCGGCGTGGAGTTGCTGGCGCTCTGCTGCCCACGCCTGCCACGCTGCTGCCCGCTCTTTCTTCTTGCTGCTGTTGATTGGGTGGTGTGTGGCAATGGGGAGAAGACGGGCCACCGCTGGTTGCGCGTTCAGGTCGCGAACGTACCAGCGATGCACGAGGTTGAGCGCTGCGCGTGCGTCGTCTGTGTCAAGCGACAGCAGCGTTGAGCGAATGGCACCAAGCTCTTGTTCGGGGATGGTCGTGGGCAGCATGATATCTCCGTAGGAGTTGCCGAGGATGGAGATGAACGCTGTTGCTGCCGATTCGCTCACACACGCGCGGGCAGCGGCGGTGATGTGGGCGAGGGCGTGGTCGTCCAGCGCTTGCTGCTGTGTTGTCACAGCCTCAAATGGGTCCACAAGCTCAAACGTCATGTCGAGCGTTTGTGCAAAGCGCGTGAGGAAGGGCACAAGCTTGCGGCGAATTGCCTCACGTTCCATGGCCATATCCCCGTAGGAGGTACACAGGAACACGCGCACGTGTTTTGTGGTTGAGACGTCGCAGTGCTGCTGCTGCTGCTGCTGTTGTTGTTGTTGTTGTTGTTGGTGCTGGTGTTGGTGTTGGTGCTGGTGTTGCCTTGGTGAGGCGGCAGGCGAGCGAGAGCTGCTTGAGTATCGGCGACGGCGCTGGTGCGGCGTGCCGCTGCGACTCCCGCTCTCCTTGTACTGTGCAAGGCCAGCACCAGTGATGAGGTCGCATTCCATGTCTTGGCAGCGGTGTTCCGCGGGTGTGATTGACTTGACCAGCGCTGCGTGCTGCAGCATCAACGCGTCTCGCTTCTCCTGGTCCAGGCCTATCGTGGTGGTGGTGGTGGTTGTGGGTGGCGTTATGGCGGTGGTGACGGCGTGGATGTGAATGTGTGTGCACGTTTGTGTGCGCGCGTATGTGCGCGCGTATGTGTGCACGTGTATGTGTGTGTGTGGGTGTGTGTGGGTGTGTGTGTGTGTGTGTGTGTGTGTGTGTGTGTGTGTGGGTGTGTGTGGGTGTGTGTGGGTGTGTGGGTGTGTGTGTGTGTGTGTGTGGGTGTGTGGGTGTGTGGGTGTCGGACAAGACGATAGGCATGTAAAGGAAGAGTGGCAAAGTGTGTAAGTGAGCGTCCTTCTATGAAAATGTGTGTGTGTGTGTGTGCTGTTACAGTGGACCAAACAAGCGGCGCAAGTGGAACGTGTAGTGCGCTGTCCTCTGTTTCTCATCCCGTCTTGTTCGTGTGCAGCTTACGTTCGGTTGCGGGGACGCTGAGTTGGTGGGTGTTAACCGGGGACATTGGAAAAACGGTCTCGGTGTTGTGCACGGCTGCGGCAGCCTTGATGGTGCCGTACCACTCAAGTGTATCTGCGTCTGTACTCGCATACACGCTGAGGATCGTTTGTGGTGAGCTGATCACGATGCTGGTGGAGGCACCACCACCCTGCGTGTGTGGTCTTGTGACAATGGACGACGCCACGCTCAAGTTCACAAGCCCGACAGCCTGCTCACCAACCGCCTCGCTCCTGTGTGTGTGTGTGTGTGTGTGTGTGTGTGCGTTGGGGAGGGGGTTCACACATGTGTAGTGTGTTGTGTGTCATGTGAGATGAGGCATGTGTCATGTGAGGCGAGTGTCTGTCTGGATGCATGGAGGCGTGTTGCACAACCACAGACAGACAGAGACACAGGCACAGACACACACAGACACACAGGCACACACAGACACACAGACACACAGACACACAGACACACACAGACACACACATCCACACACAGACACACACAGACACACACAGACACACACAGACACACACAGACACACACAGACACACACATAAACAAACAAACAGACAGACAGACAAACAGACACAAACAAAAGTGCACGTGAGCATGCGTAGAGCCAGCCAGACCTGTAGAAGGAGAGGACGTTGCCTTCGAGGCGGAAAAAGCGTTTCTTCCATGCGCGACGCAAGAGCGTACGTGTTCCAACCTCGTGCTTGTACAGCCAGCCCTCTATTGGGTTTGGTGGCCAGAAGGTATCACGAAACAACAGTAAGCCAGCGTGGGGTAGGGCGATATGGGTTAGGGTGGATGAACGCAATGCAGGCATGAGGCATGATGAGCTAAGGAAAGAGCTTCTGAAGCCATGGACAAAGACACACATACACACACAAAAGGAAAACACACACACACACATATATATAGACACACCTTTGATGGTGGCGAGGGGAAGCGGTGTGCGCTGGAGTGCCGGCAGTCTGCTCTCGCGTCTCGCTGCGAGCATCTGGTGGTGCCGTGCTCCATTCTGTTGTTGTTGACGGCATGCATCTGGCAGGACCGCGGCTTCCTCGAACGACCATCCTCTGTGTGTGTGTGCGTGTGTGTGTGTGTGTGTGTGTGTGTGTGTGTGTGTGTGTGTGTTTGGGTGAGAGAGAGAGTGTGTGTGTGTGTGTGTCGAAGGTCTTGGTTTGAGTGAATGTGGTGTGACTTGCCGCTTGTGCGGCAGAGTTTGTTGCATTGTGGCAGGGGCGTGTGCTAACCAGCACCCGCACACGCACATGCATCGACACAAATCACACACACACATACACACATACACACATACACATACACACACACACACAAACGCACATTCAGCAGACCTGTGTCGCTTGACAGCAAAGTATGTTGCGTGCAGGATGCTTGCGCGAAACTGGGCATCGTTGTTTCCTTCGCACACCGTCAGCAACACGCGTTGCCTCTGCGCCCACGCCTCAAGCTTCTCGAATGCCCCTTCCCACAACGCAGGGATCCTACAGTTGGGAGACGAACAAGGGCAGCACAAACGTGTCGGTTAGACAAAAAGTTCGTGTGCCTTGCGTGTGTGTGTACGGTGTGTGTGTGTGTGTGTGTGTGTGTGTGTGTGTGTGTGTGTGTGTGTGTGTGTGTGTGTGTGTGTGTGTGTGTGTGTGTGTGTGTGCTTGCGTGTGTGTGTGTGTGTGTGTGTCTTGCGTGTGTGTGTGTGTGTGTGTGTGTGTGGCTGTACTGTTGCACGCGGTGTCGCATGGTATGCACCGTCAAGCAAGTTGTCAGAAGGACGGCACCTGTCTTCGCTTGTGATGACCAGACAAGCTATGGGTGGTGCTTGGTCCTGTGTGCCAGAAATCGCCCCATCGACTTGCTCCTGTTGGGTGGTTTTCGAAAGACATGAGTTGTCCGGAAATCTGATCGCTTGCACGAAAGCCTTCCTCCTCTCGTGCTCTTTGACCCCCCCCCCCGCAGCCAACAGAACCTCTGCTCTGTGCTCGTGTGCTCCCTGTGCTGTGACACAAACTCTTCTGTCTCGCCAGCACTAGCGCACGAGCACGCTGTACCTTGAGTGCTTGGAGCGCTGCGAGCATTCCCTTTGGCGTATCCGTGATATGCGGGAAGATCAACAGTTCGGGCTGGTGGGAGCGTTGCTATTAAATTGAGCGCGCCAGCCACATCATGTCAACAAATAATAAAGTGAACAAGTGTCGGAGGCAAAATGGACGTGTTAACAGCACCTTGGGGCAATGCGTGACGTGGTGAATGGAGCGTGCGAGAGAGGATCGGGGGAGAGGGGAATGCACAAGGCCGCAATGCCACAAGGCATGCCATGTGTGCGTATGTGTGTGTGTGTGCCTGTGTGCGTGTGTTGGCTGATGATCTATGACAGTATGAGAGTTAGGATGGCCAGATGTCCATTTGATGGTACTCACCATCGTTGGAACATCCGACTCCGCAGCCATGGTGTGCAGGTCAAGGGAGACGCAGAGTGCTTGGTCCCCAATAGGCGGTGATGCCTGTGCGGTCGTTGCTGGGTGCGTTTGTTGTGATGCTGTGTCGTCATTCACAGAGTTGGCAGAACAGGCCTGTGGGATGCGGATGGGCACGATTGGCACAGCTGCTGCGTGACGCCGACGTGGGGTTGCATGTTTGTTTCGTGCTTGCGAGCGTTGCGCATGTGCCTCAGTTTGTTGCTGTTGTTGTTGTAGATTGATCGAGGGCAGGCATTCCTGGATGCGGCGAAGCACCGCATCTGCGTCCTCCGCTTGCACGGTGGTGGCAACATCATCGGGAGTCTCTGTTGCTCCACTGCTGGAATAGCACACCGCCGTCCTCAGCGATGGCACTTCATCGGCCTGGGCGTGCGTGTGTGTGTGTGTGTGCGCGCGTGAGGGAGAGGGAGAGAGAGAGTGTGTGTGTGTGTGCGTGAGGGAGAGAGGGAGAGAGAGAGAGTGTGTGTGTGTGTGTGTGCGTGCATGTGTGTGCATGTGTGTGCATGAGTGTGTGTGTGTGTGTGCGTGTTGCATGCAACGCGTCTTTTCAACAACTCCAACACACACACACACACACACATGCACATGCACACATGCACGCTCACAATCTCTCCGAATACCTTGATGTTGATCCAGGCGTGGCTGGTGTCCGTGTCGGTGTTGTTGGTGTGCTGACCATGTGCTGTGTGGCGGCGCCGTGCTTTGGTCGCTGTTGATGATGCTTCCTGCGATGATGCACGTCGTCGCAGGTATGACGGCACCTGTGGTTGCTGCTCTTCCTCCGCCAACATGGCGGTGTGTGTGAGTGTGAGTGTATGTGAGTGTGAGTGTGAGTGTATGTGAGTGTGAGTGTATGTGAGTGTGTGAGTGTGAGTGTATGTGAGTGTGAGTGTGAGTGTATGTGAGTGTGAGTGTATGTGTGTGGGAGTGGATGTCTGTGTCTGTGGGTATGCATCGTCTTTCTGCTTCTTCTCTGTATCCGACACAACCACCAGCTTTCGCATTCGCCACCTGACGACATCGTATCAACGAAGCACCGATGACTCCTACCAAGTGGCGTTGAAGAGCGTAGCGAGTCATCGTGGAAGGTGTCCACGAATCATCGGCGTTGTTGCCTGCATGCAAACGGCCAGTCGCCATTTCACGAAAATCTTGCGGTGTCTTTCCTTCCAAGCACCACAAAACAATAATTTTTTTTCTCATCAATCGCGCGCGACCACCCATTGAGTGGGGAGGGTCACTGATTTGGTGCAGGCGCGGCGCGCTCACTGCAAAACTTAACTCGCCCCTGCGTCAGTGCGCACGGCGTTGTGTGCGTGTGCCTCGCCGCCTTTGCTTTGTTGCGTGATTGTTTTGTGTCGTGCGTGCTTGCAGGCAACAAAACTCACAGAATAAGGAAGCACTGAAGCAAAGCAAGAAAAGCAAAGCGTGTGTTGTGTTTTGCCTCACTACCATCAAACACACACACACACCTCACACGCGACTTGACTCCGTGACCCACCCTTCCTCTCTCTCTGCCGCTCTGCTGCTCTGCCGGTCTGCTGCTTTCTCTCCCACTCTCATCACGTCTCCATCCTTCCTTCCGCATACGCACCCATAGAGTGCGTCCCAAGCCTTGGTCCAGCGCAGACCCACATTCCCCTCTCTCCACCTGGTGAGTGCATCCGCAGAGAGCGGGCGCGGCTCTTGGCTGCAATCCCATCCCATCCCACACGCATATGGGATGGACGGATGGGGGAAGGCCCCACCCGAATGATCCATCCTCTGCGCAAAACTCCCCTTGTGTTTGACCTGGTGTGCTTGCTTGCTTGCTTGCTTGTGTGTGAGCGTGGCCTTTGGTGGCTCTGTCACGCCCGTCCTCCCTCCCGTTGTCACATTGGCCGTCGTCCTCCTTCCACTCAGCCTCTCTTCGCGCCAATGACATTGTTGCCTCCTCACCTTCCAACACCTGCAGTCGCATCCCAACACGCATCACCTCGCTCTCTCTCTCTCACACACACACACACACTCACGCCCCCACACACACACACGCACACACATGCACACACATGCACACTTTCTCTGTCCAACCCCACCTGCTTGTCGACTTTTGCCAGCCAAGCCTTTCCTCCCGTTTCCTGTGCTTGCAAGCACGCACCACGAGCGCTCGGCTTGCCAAGTCCACTGTTTGCTTTTCCACCCATTGGTGAGTGTGGACACGAACGAATCGCCTTGCATTCATTCATTCATTCACCCCCCCCCCTCTTGCTTGCTTGTTCTCGCTTGCTTCACTTGTTCTTGCTTGCTTGCTTGCATCGCCATTTCCGTGCCAAGCCTACTCGATCCCACCACGATTCCTCAGCTCGCGCTATCGCCACACAAAGCAACATCCATTGTCTCCGCTCGACATCCATCACCCTTCCCCCCCCCTCTCTCACATGCACGCACACGGAGCCGCTCATCCACTCACACGTCTTCCTCATCGCATCACACGCCTTATCCGTTTTGGGTTGCGATCTTCCTTCCGACCTTCCGCCTTGGCCAACTCATTATCCCTCCCTCCCTCCCCCCCCCTTTTATTCCCATCCTCCTCCGCTCTCCGTGCTTCTCTTCTTCTGAAAAGAAGACCAGCCAATCAACATGCGCGTGTTTGCAGCAGCCACGCTGCTGCTGGCCGCTGTCGCCCTCGCCGGCGCACAGCCCGTCGATATCACCCTGACCAACCCCAGCTTCGAGACAGGCGATCTCACCGGATGGGTCATGGAAGGCGTGCGTACCCGCGTCAGGACATTCAACGTTACCGGCGCTGGCCTGTTCACAGACGATGTCATCCCCGATGGTACCTTCGTCTCCGGTATCGTGAAGAGGGACGACGTTGATTTCTACCAGAGCCTGGATGACCTGTTCACCTCTGGCCGCACGTACCGCTTCTCCTGCTACGTTGGCGAGGCCATCGACAACGAGGGGCCCGACATGCGCACCGTCTCCATGCAGCTTCGCCGCGACGACAACAACGCCGTGCTGTCAAGCACCACCATTGTCGATGCTGACGTCGACAACGGTGTCTTGTACCAGTTTTCCACCGAGTTCACCGCCACCTTCTCTGAACACGGCGTTCCCATTCGTGTCGGCTTCTCCAGCAACACCACCGGCAAGATCGCGTACATTGATGACTGCTCCCTCACCTCCTTCCTCGAGTAAGTGGCTGACAATCTGTAGTGCGGGTTGCTTGTGTTGGATATGACTGGCCTCTCGTGTCATATGTGCGCCTCAAGGCTTCCTCCTTCATTTTCCACGCTCGCTTGCTTGCACGTGTTCATGCATGCACGCATGCATGCATGAAGGAAACCCTGTCATCCTTGCCCCCCCCCTAGCTTGCTTGTTCCACTGTCTTTTCCTGTACGCCTCTCACACCAACCCTGTGAATCTAATGCACCAAACAGCACGACCACGACCACCACGACAACGACCACCACGACCACGACCACAACTACCGACTTTGTCATCTCCCCCGACGGTTCGTCTCCTGCCCAGTGTCCTTCACCACGTGCATCATCCTGTGCATTTCCTTCGTTCACAAATACCATATCCACACATACACACGCACACACACACACACACACACACACGCACACGCACACGCACACACGCACAGTCAGTCACTCACTCACTTTGGTCATCCCATCTCTTGCTGTACGCTCATCCCATCATCCAACCAATCACCCCCCCCCCCCCCCCACACAAAAAAACAAAAAAAAGGTGGGTGCGGGGACAAAAAACTTTAGTCTATACTCGTTGGGTGGACGAAGGAGATGTGGGGTGTTGTAAGATGATTAACTTCCTCAAAAGTGTATGCAAATTTGTTCAATGTAATATCCCTGGAGTGCAAAAAAAGGCGCTCTTACGGCGGGATCAGCATTTTCCGTAGACTACAGTATGCGATATTTCATCCACAAGTGATGCCAGAGACGGATACGTTGGTAAGCCGTAGCCTACCGTGAGCGAACTCTCCATGACATGGGATCCCGCAACGAAATCCTGGGACCAGGACGAGCGTACTGAACAGGTGTAGAATGTTATTTACGAATGCGATCTATGTAGTGCCACTTCTCATAGGTACCAAGCACTTTCCCCTCAATCATAGACCACTATGAAGACCGCTCTAGCTTTACGTAATCTCAAGATTACTCACGGCCGCGCAAAGTTACAGTAAGTCTTCCGCTCTTGAACAGCCCCGCGTGAAGGTAGATCACTGGGATGATATGTGGTCGTCACAGAATGCCGAGGATACAACACCCCCCCCACCCCACCACACACACACACACACAGGCTGGGTGCAGCACAACAACTTTGAGTTCCAGGTGTTTGGCGAAGGTAACAAGCTGCAGTTTGACGCTGCACGTGACGTGTGCCTGGGTCTGGACGCCGACCTTGCCTCGATCCGCGACCTCGAGGAGAACATGTTCATCTCCAACTTCCTGTATGAGACAGCACCCGTGAACGAGGTGTGGATTGGCGGCAAGTACGACGAAACCACCCGCGACTTCTACTGGGTCAACGGCCGCGACGCCCCCGACTACGAGCTGCCCTACCTCCCCTCGGAGCCAGACAACAGCGGCCTGTGCGTCCTGTACGACATTCGCCTCAAGGACGGCACACAGACCGGCATGTGGGGTGACCGCGACTGTGAGGCCTTCCGCGCCTTCCTCTGCGGCCGCTCAACCTTCACCACGTCCACGTCCACGTCCACGTCCTCCTCCTCCTCCACATCGACATCCTCAACAACCTCCTCTTCCACCTCCACATCTACCTCCACCTCCACTTCCACATCGTCCTCGTCGTCGACCTCCACATCCACCACATCGTCCACGTCTTCGTCCTCATCCACGTCCTCATCGTCCTCCACGTCCTCGTCTTCCTCCACCTCCACCTCTTCCTCCACCTCCACATCCTCCTCCTCCACAACGTCCTCTTCATCTTCCACCTCCACCTCCTCCTCAACATCCACCTCCTCCTCTACCTCCACCTCTTCTTCGTCCTCCACCTCCTCCTCCTCCAGCACGTCCACGTCTTCATCGACGTCCACGACCTCTTCCTCCTCAACCTCTTCCTCCTCCTCAACCTCGTCGTCGTCCTCAACCACCACATCCTCGTCGTCCTCCACGTCCACATCTTCCTCCACCTCCTCTTCTTCCTCCACCTCCACCTCCACCTCGTCCTCGACATCCACGTCTTCGTCCACGTCCACGTCTTCCTCAACCTCCACATCCACATCCACATCCACCTCGACCTCAACATTCTTCAAGACCCACGATGGTACGCGCGTGCGCGCCTGTGTTACTCGTGTGTTGCTTTTCACAACGTTCCGTGCTACCTCTGTTCTTTCCACCCATGCCCACGCACGTGCATTTTTATTGATACACAAAACACGCGCGCGCACACACACAACACACACACACACACACACACAAACGCACACGCACAAAAAACACACACAAACGCACACACACGCACACACACGCACACACTCCCTTTCCCTTTCTCACACCCACGCCCCTCTCTCACCACAGGATGGACTCGCTACATGGAGAAGGACTACATTGTGATTGAGGACAAGGAAGTGTTTGACGATGCCCACCAGGGCTGCCTGGACCTCAATGGCGACCTTGTGTCGGTGTTGACTGCTGAGGAGCACGAGTTTGTGTTCTGGCTTTCCCTGGACTCCACCACCAACAACGAGCTGTGGATTGGCGGCTTCTTCCCGGAGTTTTCCCCAGGCCTGCAGTGGACCGATGGCAGCGAGCCAAACCCAGACGTGACCCCCTATGCCCCCGGTGAGCCAACACGCAACTTTGGCGAGAACTGCATCCTGTTCAACGTGCGCGACGGCGCTGGTGCCCCGCAGGGCGAGTGGGAGGACCGCAAGTGCACCCTGCGCCGTGGCTACGTCTGCAAGCGCGACGCCCTCTACACCACCAGCACCTCCAGCTCCACCTCGACTTCCTCGTCCACCTCCACCTCATCGTCCACCTCCACCTCAACCTCCTCCTCCACATCCACATCGTCGTCCACGTCCACGACATCCTCTACCTCGACATCGACCTCGACCTCCACGTCCTCGTCGACTTCGTCCTCCACGTCTTCCTCCACCACAACCGAGGAGCCCAATGCCCTGGACAACGGCAGCTTTGAGAGCCCCGCACTCACGGCTGCGGGGGACTTCACCACCGAGGCCACGTCGTGGTCCCTTGGCGGCGACGCTGGCGTGTACTTCCCCACCTCCAGCAACTATGCTGGCGGCGTGCCTGACGGCGTGCAGTGCCTCTACCTCCGCTCTGGCGCAGTTGCCCAGCAGTCGACCGACCTGACCCTGTCTGTGTCTGAGGGCGACGAGGTGTCTCTGTCCCTCTCCGTTGGCTGGCGCAGCGACCTGCCCTTCAACGGCCTCGTTGTTGGTCTCTTCACGGAGCTCGGCACCCAGATTGTTTCCACACAGATCAACAGCGGTGACGTTGTGCAGGGCGAGTTTATGTCGTTCTCCTTCTCCGGCACCGTTGGCGAGGGTGTGACGAACGAGGCCCTCGTGCTCAGCTTTGGCGGCGCCGCCGCCGCCGGTCAGGTCAACGTCGACGACGTGCGTGTGCGCGCCTACCCTGACACCACCACCACAACAACAACAACAACGACCACCACCACGACCACCACCACGACGACCACGACCCAGTCCACAACCACCACAACCACAACCACAACCACAACCACCACAACCACAACCACAACCACCACCACCACCACGACCACGACAACTACCACGACGACGACCACCACCACACCGCAGGTGAGCGCCGCCACAAACCCGAGCTTTGAGCTGCCGTCGCTTGCTGCTGATGGCGACTTCTCTGGCAGCGCCACCGGCTGGACGCTGTCCGGCACCTCTGGCGTGTTCCGCCCCACCACCGGCGTCAACTTTGCCACGGATGCGCCCGACGGCAACCAGGTTCTCTTCCTGCGCGGCACTGCGAGTGCACAGCAGACGACCGGCTACACGCTCTCCGAGGGCACGCCCGTGTCGTTCTACTTCTGGATTGGCCGTCGCGCCGACACCGCCTTCAACGGCGTGCAGGTGTTTGTGTCGTCCTCGGACACCAACGAGGTGCTCGCCTCTGGCGCGTACACGAGCAACGACGTTGCCTCGGGTGAGTTTGCCCGCATCGACCTCAACTTTGTGACGCCGAGTGGTGTGGATGGCGAGAACGTTGTGCTTCTCTTCATTGGCGCCAGCAGCACCGGGCAGGTGAACATCGACCACGTGTTTGTCAACACGAACCTGAACCCGACGACTACGGAGGGCACCACCACCACTGCCGCTGCCACGACCACGAGCACGACTGCCGACCCCAACGTGCTGAGCAACTCTGACTTTGAGGCCACGAACCTCCCCAACGACAACGACTTCACCACCGACATTTCCGGGTGGGTGACGACTGGCGTTGCCGGCGTGCTCAACCCAGACATTGTCAGCTACCCTGGCGGTGCACCCAGCGGCGACAACGTTGCCTTCCTCTTCCAGACTGCCAGCATGCTGCAACAGCCGTCGTCCTTCTCCATGACCCCCGGCGCGACCTACACGGTTGAGGCCATGATTGGCTGGCGTGCGGATGAGGACTTCTCTGAGGGCACCATTGCTGTTGTGTCTGCCACGTCGCAGGACGTGCTTGCCACGATTGATGTCACCACGGGCGATGTCACGCAGGGCACCTTCACCAGCTTCTCCATGTCCTTCACTGCACCGTCCTCCGAGGGCGTGTTTGTCGTCATTGACAGCACGGGCTCCGCTGGTCAGATGAACGTTGACCTCGTCCGCTTTTACGAGGCCTAACTCCCCCTCCCCCTTATCTCTCCCTTTCTCCCTTTTTCTTTTTGCCCCAAGACGAGTAGCACCACACTCCTCGCACTCGGTCCACCCTTCTCCCACTTCGCTTTTATCCAACCAACTCCACTTCTGCTCCAACGCAATCATCACAACAACGCAACGCAACGCAAGCATCCAACGCTGCCCATCAAACCAACAAACCATCCTTCTCCACAACCAGCATCTCCTGAACGTGCTGCGTTTCTTCCTTGTTTCGTCTCATGTGTGCCGGCTGACGCTTTGTTGTTGCTGCTGCCTGTTTCTTTCCTTTTGCGCCCCATTTGTGGTGCGGTGCCTTGAGTCAACCCACGTGTGTTTATCTCCAATCGCCCGCATACTGTGCATTCTCCTTTTGAGTGTGTGTGTGTGTGTGTGTGTGTTTGTGCTGCGCTTCTGTATGATGTTTCTGTTTGTTTTCGTGTGTGCGTGTGTGTGTGTGCGTGAATTGTCCTACAGTGTTGACTACGACTACCCACTCCAACTGTCCATGATTGCCTGTGTGGTGTGTGTGAGTGCGTGAGAACCGAGCGCTGCTTGACAGCATCGACGAGTGTTGAGCAAGCGAACACGTGCGTTTTTGTTCCCTCGCCATTGCCCGCTGTTGTGGTTGTGCGGTTGCGTGGTTGTGTGGTTGGTGATGGTTCTCGCTGCCCTCTGCGTCTCGTTGCCTCGTCATGTTTGTGGTTGGGTTGTGGTGATCGTGTCACCACCCCTTGTTTTCATCCCTTCACCACTTCACTCACATGTGCATGACAAAGGAGACGCGCATGTGCGCGAAACCATCGCTGCACGGTGCAATTGGTGCTGCTTCACCC